TTATGTGAAATTCGAGAACAAGAAAACAAATCTCCCTTGATAGAAATCAGAACAGTGTTTACCTGTGGAGAGTGGAGACTGCCGAGGGGGAGCCGTGAGGGGGGCCTCCAGAGCGTGGGATTGTTCCTGAGTTTGATTGGGAGGGTGGTTACGCAGGCATTCACATTTCTTAAAATTGGTCAGATTGTGCATTTGAGAACAGTCCATTTCCCTGTGTGTAAATTTTATCATAATTTTGAAGTCTATGAAGAAGGAATTTAAAAAAAAAAAAAAAGCCAGTTCGCTGACTGCTAGCACATCTAAAACCAAATCCCACTTCCTTACCCAGCTTATCGTCTAAAACTCTTCCTACTCTCAATTCACTTCAACCTCAGGGTCCGCCTCCTTGTTCCCTAATGACGCTAAGCTCAGGCCCATCTCCGTGGCTTGGCACCGGCTTTCCTTTCTACCTAATCTTTTCCCTGTAAACTCTAATCTTCCTTCCTTCAGCCCTCTGCTCACGTCTACTCAGAGAGTCCTTCCTTGAACACTCTTCTCTAAAACAACCCCTTCCTCTGGCCCCTTCGGCCTCTTCTCTTGTTTTGTCTCCTTGCCCGGCACGTGTCCTTCCCTGCAAGCACATTCTGTATTTCTAATTCTCGTCTAGATCCCCGCCAGAATTTAAGCTGCATGTGAGCTGGGTCTTTATCTGCCTTGTTCACATGCTGCAGGGCTCACAACAATCCCTAACATATTACTTAATAATTGCTTGGTTAATAATTAATTAATTAGCACTTTTCTGGGTTGTCGTGAAGAGTAACTAAGGCGATGCATACAAAGGTCCTCACATGGCGACCGATGGAGTGAGTAGATGAGAAATAGAAGCTACTACGGGTATTCATCCTTTTATCCCCAACATTGCCCTGCATGGTGACCAACAAAGATTAGGTCTATGGTAAAAAATTAAATGGACAGAGCAGACGAATGAATGGGTGAGTGTATAGGTTGGTAGGTTTGTGGGTAGGTGTATGGATAGATGGATATTTAGATGTATAAATGGATTAATAGGATAGATGGATGGATGGATGGATGGATGGATGGATGGATATTTAGATGTATAGATGAGTTAATAGGATGGATGGATGGATGGATGGATGGATGGATGGA